TCTGACAGAAGGTATGACAAATTAAGAAAGTTTATGACAGATAAGCACAAGGTGTGTGTGCCAGTAAGACAATCATGTGATTTTTATACATTGAGTGAATTATTTCCCAGAAATTATGTGTGCCTTACAAAAACATGAAGCGCCACAAACACTTCTATCTACAATCTATCTTTTTATTTGTCTATTCATCTCCCCTTCAACATACCTAGGGCAAAAACAAAAACTAATATATATTAGTAAATTATTAAATAATATATAGGAAATGAGAAATACCTTTCTGAGCACATCAGATGAGATACGTTTTTGTTTATGGCTACAGTCTAAATTAATCCGATCAAATTAAAGCATAACAACATTTACTAACTAAATGTAATGATCAGTCCCTCCACAGAGCCCTGTAGCGAGGGCTCAGTGATCGTTAATGGAGCTTGAAACAGAGTTTAAGATACAGTACGTGTGTGTATGTAGCTTCTTTTCTTCTTACTTTTGGGTGTCCTTTTGGGGAGTATGCAGCATATGGCTGAACCACATCAGGATCATCTTGGTCCGGAGTATAAGTCTTCTCTTTTTCTCTGGCGGTGTACAGCACAGCATCAGATGGGCTCACTGAAATGAACAACACATGGTGATTGGTCTGCTAGTAAACAAGTGAAACTCACTATGTTTATATGTTTCACCGCAGTAAATCATACAGCAAAACACACAAAGGAAAGCCAACTGACTCGCCATCTTATAATGTAAAGTTTTGGTGTCTACGAACCTGTTAATCTCGAATCTTGAGCTCCTTTAAATGTGTTTTTTTTTTTATTTAGACCAGTGCTTTAAAAATATGCTTAATGACAGATTCTGACAAAAAAAAGAGATGGCGTGAGCATCTCAACTTTCAACCCAACACACTGAATAGCCTGTTGACTCACCTACAGTGACCTTATTGGGGTTCTTGGGGTCAGGGAAGGACAGGTAGACCATGTACTCCTCTCTCCAGGCCTCATCCAGACCAGTTTCGGGGTCCTGCCATCTCTTAAGCATAAACTGCACTGTCTGTTCATCTCCAGCTGTTGTGGCCATATGAGGCACTTTTGTCAACTCCCTGTGGAGAATAATAGAAATAGAAATCTCATAAGAATGCAGATTAGCCTTTTTTAGACTGAGACACTTCACTATGAAAACCAAATAAACCGTCTTAATACGTTTAAATCTTTTTACAATCCACTTTTTTTTCTTACTCAATCAGACAATATTTTTCCTTTTTTGTCTTTGTATTTTCACTTTTTTTTTTTATCACTTGAACAAATGAAATATGATGAGGATGACTGAATGACCCAACATAATTACGTTGATCATTCATCAACTCACCTTAAGTTTTTCTGAATCTGGATGTTGTCCACCTCAGACAGGAAAATCTCAATGAGACTCTCGTCCACGTCCTTCGCCACATCCCTCACCCAGGTTGGTCCTGAGCTGCTGCTTTTGTTGATACCAAAGTGGCCGATTAGGATACCGGAGGTCAGTATGACAGCGCCACACACAATCCCAATCAACACCTGCTTTATCATTCTCTTCCCTGGGATAAGCTTCTCAAGAAAATAGTTCAGCTCCTCTTTGGACCTGAATCTTGTGTCTGACAGTGAGATTTGTCCAAATGTGAGAAAGTTTTAGGCAGTGTCGCTTATAGATCCATTAGGTAAGAGAAAGTGATTGCAACTGATTCCCAAATGATCCCTGCAAAATCAGAGCGGCTGCTGAAGTGACCTCCCATAAGAAGGAGGCATTATCATTGTAAGGTTTACTCATTACTGTTTGCAGATGGGATGGACTTTAACCCTTGTGAAGGGGTGTAAAACCATTTATTTTAAATGTCCAAACTCACGCTGTGAGTGTGCGATAAATAATCGAATTCCAGATGATATTCAGTTGCTTTCAGCTCCACTCATCTATCACTGGAAATGTCCTCCAATCAAAGAAGAAAATATAAAACAAAAAGAGTTTGAATATTGCTGATCATAAACTCTAAAGCTGTCCTACTGCTCTAAAAGATTTCTGTTTAACTCATCCTCACATCCACAAAGTTTCCAATGACACTAAATACTGCATATCACAGTGGTGTTTGTGTCATTCATGCCCTGGTAAAACAAGCCGCTGCCACTCCCCCAGACAGACAAATGAGTGACAAGGAAGTGATGTCCTGACTGATGACCTGCCTTGATGAGAGGAGTGACAGACTGCATTTTCATTTTCTCCCCAAAAGAGCATAGTGACATATAAATGTAAATGCAATGGACTGTGGGCGCTGTTTACATATTATATTAGAATATTGTCACTGTAGAGCAGGTTAAGTCTTTGAAAATTAATTGTTTTAGCCTGTTATTTTTCTGCACCAGATGCTTTGAGAATGGAACAATATATTATAATCATCCAACCCCTTTTTAAGAATTCCCATTTCTCATTCCTGCGCCCTAAAACAGATTGGTGAATTTTTGTAAACATGCAGCACTGTCCTCTAAAGTTAGAAACCAAAGGGAGAACCTTAAAATGGGAAATGTCATCCCAGTTTGCACTATAACAAAGAATAGAGCTCTGATGCTGTGAGGCCATAATATGTAATTTCTTACACCAAAAGTGTTTCAAATTTTAAACTTTATATCCAATTCAAAATCTGGATGAGACCTGTTAGGGGGTACACTACACATCTACTGTAGATTATGGGGTTAGGGCAGTAATTTAAGTAATATAAATTATATAACTTCAGTAGTTTGACGGATGAAAGCAAGCCTTTGACTTTTTTGAACACTCAATAGGTGTTAATGTGGGGAAATCAATTAAAAAGTCTAATGCAATCCCTGCATTCCACATTTTCATTTGTCACTTATGACATTTAATAGATATTTTAATGAAATATACATCCACTGGTACTAGAACAAAGTCAGTGCCCCTTGTGTTACTCTATGGATTCTCTCTGATTTCTAGCTTTTCTTGGGCACAGGAATAACATATGTGACATTTAAGGCTTTTATTATTGCTTTCAAATGAACAAACTGTATGTTTATGAATGTTGTGTGATTATTTATTAGCAACTTGAACTTCATGCACATCCGCTGGATGAATTTTGAACATTTTTTCTGGACTTCATGTTTGCTGCTTTACTCTCTGTGTCCATGAGAATGTGAATACTCATGTTGTGTAAATTTGTCATTTAATAAAAGAGCAGTCGTGAAATCCGTTCCTATCCTGCATCTAAGAGAAGGGTTGGTGTGGGGAAAATAGCAGGAAATGAATAAAAGCCATCCTGGATGGCACAACAGGAAATGGGCCGAGTCTGGCACGTGTGGTGTATTTAAGGCCTGGTTGTGGGTTGCTGGTCGTTGGACTAGTCTTGGGCCAACTGTCAGACCGCACTAAAGCCGGATCTCTCGGCCCAGACACTGGCCAAGTCTTTTCCAGGATAACATGACTAACAGCAGTATAAGAAAATTTAAAATGGGGAACAAACAAACGCAGAAACTTTTCACATATGTGACAATATCGGAAGTCAGGTGAACAGGAAACGGGACTTGCAGGGAAGGGCCCGATCAAAGCGTAGCTAGCTGCCACTACAGGCTGCTCACATACGGGTACTGGGAGGACAGCGCGCCAAAATCAACCATGGCCGCAGTGAAATGAAACCTGGGTCTGTGTACAGTCCGCGGTCAGTAAGTAAAATACTCTGAGAGTATGACACCCGAGCTGTTTTGCTTGACGAAAGTAACTGGCCGGTACCGGAGGTAAGTCCTACAGTGTCGGGGCTTTGAATTTATTTTCTCAGCAAAGTGATTCTGGAAAGGGTTAATTTTGAATGCTTCATGTGAACATGTGTAACTTCTACTGGCCTGAATGTAAAATAGGCATAAACAACCGTTTGTCTATCACAAATTGGATATAAGTATGAGGGAAACCTTGATTGTGTTTTATATTCTAAGCATATATTTATAGTAATTACTGTAAACAAATCAAAAATGTTTTCTATGCATCAAATGTGTTGTACACAGGCAAATATTAACAATGAACAATAAAATTGCAAAGCGTAATTTCTTAACTGAACAAATAACAACACCAACAGCCATATTACCCAAAGACCTTAACCAGGTCCTGTCTCTACCTATCTTACAAACGTTAACGTAGTGCACGTTACTTGCTGGTTATTGGGGAAATAAAGCAGCTCATAGAAGTCTGCGTGCTCTTACTTTGAAAAGCAGAAATGGTGTCGTCAGCAAGTGGCTGAGCGAAACAAGTCCATTTTCGTTCAGACTGGCGGAAAGTTTGTCTCAAAACTAAGTGCCTTTTTTAAAAAAAAAAAAAAAAAAAAAAAATGCAAATCCACAAACGTAGAATTGAGATCCACAAATGTTGGATACAGACTAAGGCATAGACAGTGTATGTTTTTGCAATGATTCTTGAGTTTAGGAGACATATTATTCATTTTGCAGTAGATTCTGGTTTTGGCCAAAGGATTAATAATTGATAGTTTACATTAGTTAAATTCATTTCATGAGCTCAGTAAAATGTATTAATATCCGAGGGACTGGAATCAACATCAGACAGAAAATAAACAGGAAACCAAAATGACCGCGACTCAAAACATTGGCACCATCTAGCGGTGAAATATAATCCCTGCAGACTATAACAACACGGAACTTCCTGTTCACAGAGGATGTTTCCTTCTGTTTCCTGATATTATTTAAAAAATCGCTCCTGCTTCGGTTCCCTTATTAACCACCACTGACTGATACTAATGCAACTCTGCAAAATGTTTAGTCGTGAACTGTAGGTTGGTAAAAAATAAAAACATAAAAGCGGGTCGGAACCTGCCTGTTTAATCTGCAGACATGAAAGGACGTCCTGAAACCAAAGAGAATTTTATTTCCAATTTACAGCCATGTCACCACAGCTTTAACTCTCTCTGGTGTTACAATACTTGCTAACTGAAAATGTAAGGCAGTGGAGGACGTTTCCTGCGGTTCTTCCCAGCATGCAATTCCTCCTTTATCTGTTTCACTTTCACTCTTGCATTTCATTGTGCGCGCAGAAGACGACACGGTAAGTAGAAATACTATGCAATAAATGGCCAATGTTGAGAACTGAAAATTAAGGCCGTCATAACGTCTCACTTTTTGGCATCTTAGATTATGAGTTTTTTTCTATAGGGATTTATTAGGGCCATGAATGAATTGAAATTAGTGTGAGACCGAAAGTATCGTCTTTCCTCACCATCTGTCATGTTTGTGCGTTGTTGTCTTATTCTCTGTGTATTTGCATAGCAGTGGTTTGATTAAGTATGCAGCTATTGCTAAGTTCTTTTAGAAAAATAAGAGAGATATTAAGAAGTTGACACTTACACTTGAGAGATGCTCTCTAGAAATGAAGGTCAGACCTGATTGTTCTCTTAAGAGTTATATGTGTGTTTGGGTCCTTTGGAAATAAAATGTGTGATTTAAATGAAGTTTAACTAGAAATGGACAACAAAACGATAGTATCTCTGGATGTAATCACGCAACTGTATGATATTTGTATTACAGGTGAGGTGATTTCCTGCTTTCACTGTCACCATGTTTGTGGCTCCTCTCCTGCTGCTGCTGTTCGGTCCCTTCGCTCCCTCATCTGGAGCACAGCTGCCAAATGAAGGCCAAGCCAAAGACCCCCCCATAGCTACCAACGGCCAGCCATTCCCCTGGGATCGCATGCGACTTCCCAAAACCGTCTCCCCCATCCACTACGACCTGATCATCCACCCCAACCTGACCACCTTCGACTTCACCGGCGTTGCTCGTATTGAGTTGGATGTGCATGAAGACACCAGCGTCATCATTCTCCATGCCAAGCAGATGCAGATCTCCAATGTGCTGCTCCTGGCACCTGAAGGTGTGAGGCCTCTTCAGGTGTTGGAGAATCCTCGTTTCCATCAGCTCGCCCTGCTGTCAGACTCCGTGCTGACTAAAGGGAGGAAGTATGAAGTTCAGCTGGGGTTTGCTGCCAACTTATCTGACAGCTACCATGGTTTCTACAAAAGCAGCTACCGCACCAGCACTGGGGAAGTCCGGTAAGTGCATAAAACATATTTTTAAAGTGCTGTGTGTTTTTAGTATTTTACCATCATCGAATCATTACTGCATTCATTTTGTTACATTTGAACAAATGCAGTAAATCTAACCCACCGGTGTCAAAATCTGCAGCCTTTACAATGGATATTACAGGGTACAGCTGAGGTGCTGAAGCATTGGGAAGCACCAGGGTTTATGGAACATGTCGTGTTAACATCAATACCAAACACAGAAGATCGTAATCTTGACAACAGTCTCATTAGTTATGTTACAACAACAGATTTGCCAATGATAAATTTATGTTGAAAATGCTACGTATAGCAGCTTTAATTATCCTTTAGTCTTCTAACAGCATGTTATGTTAAACTTTAATGCCAGTTGTATTTCACTATTATTTATTTACATTATTAGGTTCATGGCCTCCACACAGTTTGAGGCGACCTTTGCTCGTGGAGCCTTCCCCTGTTTTGATGAGCCTGCCTTCAAAGCCAACTTCACCATACGGATTACACGAGAGCCACGCCACATAGCCATATCCAACATGCCTAAGGTACACATGACTGCGGCAGCTTCAGCATTACGATTTAATGGCTTTATCTGTAATGGACCCATTGGCCTATCCTGTCTTTTCTTTCACCACACACCTTTTGTTTCTTAGGTTAAAACAGTGGAGTTGCCAGGCGCTTGCTAGAGGATAACTTCGACACCACTGTAAAGATGAGCACTTACCTGGTGGCCTACATTGTGTCTGATTTCCTGTCTGTGAGCAAGACGACTCAGCACGGCGTCAAGGTGAGAAGGACGACAGATGCAGGCCATGCCATCGCTTAGATCTCTCCTTCAGAAACTGTTTATATGGAAATATTTATAACTTTATATTTATCCATTGATAAAACTGCCCGTCCAGTTCCTTTTATATTAATACTGAAGAGTGTGTTCTTTACTGTAATTCCCATCAGATTTCAATCTATGCTGTACCTGAGAAGATTGACCAGACAGCATTTGCACTGGATGCTGCTGTGAAGCTGTTGGACTTCTATGACGACTACTTTGATATTCCTTACCCACTTCCCAAACAGGGTCGGTAGAAATACGTTGTGTTATTACCATGTTATTATACCTGAATATCAGCAGCTGCAGTATTTCCTTTTTAAATCTTATGCTTTTTTGACCTATAAAACGATTTGTGTTGTATTAAACAAAATTATTGTACTGTACTTTAAGAAAAGTATTAGCAGCATAATGCCTTAGGATACGAACAGAGTTTATGTCTGAAGATAACCAATATACATTTTTATCAAGTCCTACTGATTACTGAGAGATCACTTTGACTAGCACATATATGTAAATTTAGATCTAGGCATTTAACAGTGCTAGTGGTCTGTGCCTGAGCCAGATAAAACATTTCTCTGCTCCAATTTGGAATGAACAGAGAAAATCTGATGGCGAGTATAAAATGTAATCAGCACACTGAATGCATTGTGTGTGAATGTAAGTTTCAGATGAGAATTGAAAACACGTGTAATAGTTTTGACCAGCGGGTGAATATCCCATATTTAGTTGTATTTAAGTGTTTGATGTTGTTCGCTGCAGACCTGGCTGCTATCCCTGACTTCCAGTCAGGTGCGATGGAGAACTGGGGGCTGACCACCTACAGAGAGACGGGCCTCCTCTTCGACGCCGACAGGTCTTCAGCTTCAGACAAACTTGGCATCACCAAGGTCATCGCCCATGAGCTTGCACACCAGGTACTTGGCCAATATCTGTTTTGTCCGTTATCCATCAGCATTATATTAGTAAGTTAGTAAGTTACGAGGACGAATTGAGCTACTTTTAATGCTACATAATTACATCATGTCCTTGTACCTAAAGCTGTTCTTACCTGTTCTCCTCCCTGTCCAGTGGTTTGGGAACCTGGTGACGATGGAGTGGTGGAATGACCTGTGGCTCAACGAGGGTTTCGCCAAGTTCATGGAGTATATTTCTCTCGACATCACCTACCCAGAGCTGCATGTGGTGAGAGCACAGTGAACCGGCTTGTATCTTAACTCAGAACATGTGCACTGTACATTATAGCAGACAGGCGACGAGCATACAAACTGCCTTGATCTTCTTAATTTGCCTGTCTGCCATATAGTGCAGTTTATCTTTTTGGTTTCATACTCTCTCCAAGTTAAATTCAGAAATTATTTACTGGCATAACAAGAAAGATAATAAATATAAAAACCTCCTTTTACTTATCTCCTCCCTGCACTCCCACATTTCCTCCCTCCCCTCTCTTTCCTTCCAGGATGACTTCTTCTTGGGGAAATGTTTTGAGGCCATGGAGGTAGACTCCCTCAGCTCCTCCCACCCAGTCTCCACCCCCGTGGAAAACCCCATGCAGATCCAGGAGATGTTCGATGATGTGTCTTATGACAAGGTCAGCTTCATTCTGGATTGAGGGCCATTCATTTGGTGGTGATGCACTTGAATATTTGAACTGTGTAATTGTCTGTGTACTTGATTAAAAGTAAAGTAGACTCATAAAAAAGGTCCATGAATTTGAATGAATCCCCAAAGTTTAATGAAAATTGTACGAAACAAAACATTAAAACACAACAGAAAGTATTTGGATTGTTAAATTTCAGCATGCAACATACAGCGTGTGTTTGGGGTTTTTTTGTTTCTTTTAGGGAGCATGTATTCTGAATATGCTGCGGGACTTCCTGACTCCAGAGGCCTTTGAGATCGGCATCATCCAATACCTGAAACGCTACAGCTACCAAAACACTGTCAACAGCCACCTGTGGGAGAGCCTGACTAATGTGAGTGATGTATGAGCGAGTATGGGTAAACACAGCAATGTTTGGTGTCACATTTACATTAAAGCTTAAAATAACTAACTCACTGTTAACTCAGAGGTTAGAAAATCGTGTTTAAAAACCAAAATCAGTCAGCTTTAATGAATAAGACAGGTCATGTAACAGAATGTGCCTGTTGTTCATTTGGGAGGTTTTGTGTTTGAGAGTGTGTGTTGAATGTGTCTGTTACCGTCAGTATTGGCGCTATTACGATTCTCCACTAAGATTTTGTGCCCCCCCCCCCCAACAGATCTGCGACTCAGATGATCTGGACGAAGGCCGAATGAAACACAAAGAATTCTGCTCCAAACGCCACGTCCCGTCTGGAGCCTCTGTAAGTTTTCATCCTTTTTCGCATCCACTTTCAGCTGAGCACTGAGCAAACAGACTCCAGTAGCACTCTCACGTAGCTGCACCACAAGTCTGTCATCTGTTTCTGATGTGAGATAATTGATTGTGTATCGAACTGTGTGCATACGCAGAAGTGGTACTCTGATGATGAGCTGGACGTCAGGGCCATCATGGACACCTGGACACTGCAGGAGGGCTTCCCGCTGGTCACTGTAGAGGTCAGAGGTCGGGAGGTCAGACTCAGTCAGGAGCGTTACCTGAAGACAGATGACCCCTCCCTCACTGAAGGGTAAAATGTCAGATTAAAAGTGTTATGGTAGATAACTGTACTGTATCAGTCATTGCAGAAGTCGCTATTCATGCATTTGAAGTCAGTTTTAAAGCCACCGTGTCATTCTTTATATGACCTTACGATTATAATTTTCAAATACTACACGGCCTACAAAGACAGAGAGCAGTGACTAATTGTCAGAGCTCTGCAGCCTGGGCAGCAATACAAAGCCAGAATACAGTAACTACACAGTCGGAGTACAGAGTCAAAGGCTGTTTTCACACAAGTTATTCATTTCTGTGGCCTAATACATCATTTTGTATAAGGTAAAATAATTGTCAAAATATCAGTTACTGTGTTACATTTTATTTCTACAATCATTAATATTATTTTAAGTTTGATCTTTTATTGTTAGATTTTTTTTTTTAAAATGTATTTATTTTTAGTCATCATTGTGTGTTGATAGATTCCTGTGGCAGATTCCACTGACGTACATGACCAGCGCCTCCAGCACCATCCACCGCTTCCTGCTTAAAACAAAGACTGGTGAGTGCAATGAGGCTGATTTTTTTATTTTTTATTTTTTATTTTTTTCTAGGCTGCTATATTTATATCCTTTATCCACATGCAGAAAATTTGAATTCTACTTTACTTCAAAGCTTGTATCCATACTCCTCCATACAGACGTGCTTTACCTGCCGGAAGAGGTGGACTGGGTGAAGTTCAATGTGGACATGAGCGGCTACTACATGGTCCACTACGCAGACAACGGGTGGAACTCCATTATCAGACTGCTGCAACACAACCACACGGCCCTGACCAGCAACGATCGTGCCAGCCTCATCCACACCGTCTTCCAGCTGGTCAGGTCTGTTAAGAGATCGGATAAGTTGTGTTTTACCTTCACTGACAGTTACTGTGCAGAACATAAAGCCAAAAATAGGGCAGTATTTCCTGCTGAGCGTGGTTTGTAAATTTTAAACTTCAATGTCGCCACTTTCGTTTTCTTTTTTTTTTTTCTTTTTTTTTTTAAACAGCCAAATTTAAAATTAAATGATAGCCAAAATGGAAAAAAACTGCAGCAGGTATTTAATTTGAAATCTGTCTTGTGTGTTGCAGCATAGGGAAGGTGAGGTTGGACACGGCTCTGGAGCTGTCTCTGTACCTGTCCAGAGAGACTGAGATCATGGCTGTGACTCAGGGCTTTGGAGAGCTCGTACCTCTCTACAAACTGATGGAGAAGAGGGACATGCCGGCTCTGGAGAACCAGATGAAGGTTAGTGAAAGCAGCAGTCGTACCAGTGTGTCTTAAAGTTAAGACTGAACTCTCATGGATGTTAGAGCAAAGTAGTTAATGGGCTCAGATTGCACTTGTCCACAGTTCCTACAGTTTACAGAAGAATTTATACAATGGCCTCTTGTGTTTTTCAGGGCTACATTGTGGATCTGTTCAGGGGGCTGATTGATCGGCAGGAGTGGTCTGACTCCGGATCAGTGTCTGAGCGAGTGCTCAGGAGTTACCTGCTGCTGTTCGCCTGTGTAAGGAACTACACTCCCTGTGTGACCAAAGCCACCCAGCTCTTTAACCAGTGGAAGGCCTCTGATGGCAAAATCAGGTCAGGGCTGCTAAATAGCGCAACAACATAACTAAATATTACCTCTCGTCAGAGCTATAATTTCAATAAAGATTAAATATTTTTTATCTGTTTTTAGCCTCCCTGTCGACATCACAATGGCTGTGTTTGTGATTGGAGCTCGAACACCAGAGGGGTGGAACTTCTTGTTTGAGAAGTACCGCAATTCGATGCAAATGTCTGTCAAGAGCCGCATGAAAACTGCCATGACTGTCACCCCCCTGCAGGACAAGCTCAAGTGGTGTGTATGGACACATGAGTAAAACCTAGTTTAAAAAAGGGAATAGCCATGTCCGCTGCCCTCCCTCTAACCTCTCTCTTTTCTGTCTGCAGGATGATGGAGCAGAGCCTCCGCGGTGATGTGATGAAGACTCAGGACCTCCCAGACGTGGTCGTCTCAGTCAGCAGAAACCCCCATGGCTTCAAACTGGCCTGGGACTTCCTCCGAGCCAACTGGCACACCCTGATCAAGAAGTCAGTCAGACCATCACACAGACACGTTTCAATCTCAATTTAAGATGAATTATGAATGCTCTGTATTTAAAAAATGCACCTGTCTTATGAGATAAAATTACATCATGGGGTTTCTAGCTTTATAAAGCGTCTTTTTTCTTTGTAAATGTAAAGGTTTCAAAACAAAACTCACATGGTTGCCAATGTCTTTCCTTTTTAGATGGAAATGTTAAGAGAGTTGAATATTCTGAACGTTGAATTGCGTCTTTCTGTGTTTGCTTTGATGCTACAGGTTCGACCTCGGCTCCAGCACTATATCATACATGGTGACTGGGGTGACCAACCAGTATTCTACCCGGGAGATGTTAAATGAGGTAAGAGAAACAGATCCACACCCTCTTTATGTAACTGGGTTTCAATCCACTGACTCTTTGGACTTTGTCTTGCATCCTTTTATTTGTTTTCTCTGTCTGTCATGTTTTGTTGCACTGTTATTTGTACAATCTCCTGAAAACACACTCTCAAAAATAAAGAATAAATAAAATATCAGCAGTGGCCTGATTCAAATGGGAATGAGCAGGAGAACAGATCAGTTTGCATATGCTCGGTATGTTCATGTTTAGTACTGGCTGCAAAATAAAATTGCTCATTTTTAGTATGGTTTATGGGAGCAGAATTATTTTTTGTATCTTATATCTTTCTTCTCTATTTCTACTTTCAAGTTTGTTCGGAGGATGAATGTGTACTTTTGGATCTCGTGTCAAATGTGATATGTATATTTAAGTCTTTCTGCTCTGCATGTGCTCAGGTACGAAGCTTCTTCGGCTCCCTGACCGAGGAGACGGGCTCGGAGATGAGGTGTATCCAGCAGACATATGAGACCATTGAGGATAACATCCGCTGGATGGACACCAACCTTCCTCTGCTGCGGGCCTGGCTGGACAAACACAGACACAAAGGGCCTCATGAGGATTTATAGCGCCAGGTGAAGCAAAAAGTCTAATGTGGATAATAATGTTGCTCAAAGCAGAAACTACTACAAGTGTGGACACAAGTCAAAAATTGGATGACTTTATATTTGACGACTAATCAAGAAGATTTGCAACTCAACTTTGACTTGAACGGCAATAACTCCTGACTTCATTTGGATGGTAGATTTTTAACTCAGAGATTTAAAAACATCAACAAGAAGTATCATGCTTTGGAATTTGATGACCCACTTTTTTCACTTCACACTTCTGTAAATTACAGCCTAAAGAAATACTGTCATGTGATCCATAAGAGACACATTCCCTCAGTATGTGAAAGTAGCCTTAAGAAATGCCTTAAAGAACCAGATTATGTGAGAGGTCTGAGTTAGCAACATCATTTTAAAAGGAAAAAAATATTCAGGGGGGGGTTGTTTCCCAATGAAAGTGCTCTCCAAAAGACAGTCTGAGTGTTTCTGCTCACTGCTGTCTGTGTGTATCTGTATATGTTGGTCGGTATTGTGTGTGCTTGTGCATGTGTGTGTGTTTTTGGGGTTAAGTTCAAAGATGGGTGCAGCACTCCCTGTCTAAAGTCTCAGTTTTTATGAAGGTGATTTTCATTCATGCTGCAATATGACTGAAGACAGCAACATAAAGGTGGTACAGTGCTGTTTAGGTAGCAGACCACTTCTTCCCATGAAAAACAAAGACAAACAAAAATAAGATTGGACATGCGCCCTAGAGAAAGAAGCCAAAAGGAGACTTGCTACGTCCAGCCTTCAGTGCTGCAAAAATGTGGGAATACCCACAACAGCTACATCTGACAAAAGGTCAACCTAATGCACTTGTTATATTTTTGTATAGTTCAAGTGTTTTTAAACCATAATTGAGATAAAACAACAGATCAGATCATTTTTGCACAGTTTGAGTTTCCAATATTGGGAACATGAATAACTACTGTAAAATATTTTTTTTTTTTTTTTTTTTGTCCGAATTTACAGCAATTCTGATATTTTCCAAGCAGAATATGTGTTGAATTAAATATTAAAAATGAAAAATTCCCTTAATTTCCGTTTGTATTTCTATTATTGCATTGCATTCTATTATATCCTAACCGTATTTTATTAAACCTGGCAAGATTAGCTGTGGGAGTCATATAGAAGTAACCTCTGGACGTTTTCACATCTGTGATCAGCAGGTCGTATGCTTTTAAGTGGTAAAAGTTAAATTTCCAGATTTGTGGAATGATTTCATACTTTTCGGTTTGTCTGTTTCTATTCAGTCACACAAACACACACATGCACAGACTAACCTATTTGCTCAAACCAAACTTGAGCAGGGGGCCAAACTGCTTTTTTTTAAAATGGAAATTATACAGTTTCTTTTTTTATCTATTAAGGTCACTTGTCAGAAAGAGAGAGAGAGAGAGAGAGAGAGAGACTGCTATCAAGGTGTGTTATAGGAAATGTAGGAGCTCGAGTTTTTGGAGCTTGACATGTAGTACTATCTATATCTCAGCCTTTGCTGTACCACTTTTGACCACTTTTTAAAAAAAAAAAAAAAAATCTGTATCTTGGAAGTCCCCCAACTTTATGGAAGTGCAATATTAAACATTAAGCTGCGCTGTACTCCTTTAAACTTGATCCAGGCTCCATTAGCCTGATCCACAGTGACAGAGCCACTGTGACGGACAGTGAATTAAATCAAAGAAACGACTCTCAAATTTAATCAGAGAAAATTCATTCATTCAAAAATTCATTTTTAACCGTGATTTAGCCAAGTGTATCAAGTTTTTTTTTTTTTTCCCCATAAGTTGGCTTGAGCACTCAACCAATCTCTCATGTGGACTCGCATTCAACATGGCAAATACTCTGCCTCGTTCCTCCTCAGGGTTTTAGTAGGAAGTGCAAAGTGCTTTAGATAACAGTGTCTTCTTCACCTGTTGCTTTGACTCTCTCTACGCTTACGATAACAGAGGAGCCTCAAGATTTTAGTGCTCTTCACTTTCAGTCGGTTTTAATCTTTCTCATCAATCTCTAGAAGTTTAGTAGTTTTTGTTAGTTTCTACGGTAATGTACCTCTCAGCTTTGCCAATCTGGAGAAATGTAGCTGTTACTTTAAATCTTCTAATCCTACCATAAATTCCTCTGATGGACCTTTAGCACAAACTAATATAACACACTGTCCAACTGATAAAACGCACATATGTTAATATAGCATATATTTGCACACTTAACACTTGTGTATAAGCTAAGCACAAGCTTAAACACATTGCTGTTATAGGAAATAAAACTTAAGTTTATGACGGTGTTTCAGGGGCTGACATATTTATATACTTACTGTTTATGCTGGGCTTTGTACTCACGCACGCACACACACACACACACACACACGGACGCACACCTATCCCTCACCAGCACACCCACAATAGAAACTGCACTCTGCTCCAGTGAGTTTGCCCTCCCAGTCCCACACCTGAGGAGAGCCATCTCTGGACCGAAGGTAAGAGCCTGAAGCTGCTCTCTCTCCCTCTGCTTCCTGTTTATGAAGCTGACTGCTCAATTGCTGAGAACTTTTCATTTGAATTTAATCTCAGTGTAAAGTGTAGAGCTGTTTATTTGTTTAGTCTGTATTTACAGACCTGGCTCCTGTTCCAGTGTGCTCGCTGTTCATGTGTTATGAATTCTGACCTCACCTAAGTCTCGTGTGATTTTCATAGTCTTTTTATTTGCTTGCTTTTGTTTAATGATCTGTTCAACATATAAAAAGTGGTAATGTTAGATCACCTCTAAGTATCTATAGATCTTTTGTTTCCCTGTTATTACAGACTCAGCATCATGTTGAGGACTCGATCCAGGTGGAAAAAAAAATAGTTCAGTCAATTTGATCAAAATGTGTCTCTTTCTTTATGGAGCTGATGTTATAAAATTGTTAACTGTTCATTAATTTGAAAATTTGATCAAAACCTGTTATAAACTCTCACAGCCACTTAGTTCCTCATAATTTCACTCTCACAAGACAGGAAATGAAGCAACAGTTTACCAGCAGTAACGACTTTAGTGACATGTCACTATTGGTCGATGCTACCTGAGGCAAACCCACTTAAATTTAGTCTTTAGACCCGTAGGGACACACAAGAGGTGTGTCTGGAGCATGTTTTGAGGTGGAGGTGGAAGCTGTTCAACCTTTGATGACATGAGCAGTGATAAACTTGTGATTCAAAGGTGTTGTTCAGTCTGTTATAGTCTCTGTCCACTAATAGCATGTGACAGCATGAGGAGACTATATGCCACAGGTTGTCGACCTGATCGGCAAAATTTTGTTGCTGTCCTGTGAAAACAATGCATCTAGAAAACTACAGCTTTTTAATGACCTTAGAAGCGCTCTCTTCATTTGACGGTGCATTTTTCACGTGGTCTGTGTATCTGGAGAGACTGGCACATCTTTTTAATTTATCTGAAAAATTCAAAAATCAGAGAGATACTGTACATGGTTTTCACTGGATAACAAGTTATAAACTTATAAATGTTCAAGAAAATAAAGCACAAAGGAAATGATGGGTGCATTTACACATATATCTACATATTGCATCTTAAAACTGTGTTAATTTTACTTAACTTTTTGGAGCATTTTTGCAATTAATGCGATCGGGACAGTGAGAGAGCCAGGAAAGTTGGCGGAGAGAAACAGAGGGTATGACATGCAGCAAAGGGCCTGGGGTGGATTTGAATCCAGACCACTGCGGTAAGGTCTGAGCCCAGATGGCATGCACACTGCCAGGTGAGCCACTGGGGTGCTTTAAATCTATGTTAATTTTAACGTAAGACACAAAAAATTTAAATTTTCAGTTGAACAGTTTCTAATATCTTAGTGTTAACAGTTATGGTGGTATATAATGTGGATATAATGCTGTTTATACTGGGTTGTTGCTGCAGTTCAGTCAAGTGTGATGATCCAGAAAACGCCTATTTAGATTTTGATGAGATCGTGTGATGATACATTTCATCACTGTGTTCCAGCAGTTTAAAAAGTGAGTATATAAGCTTCAGACATTTTAACGTGTGAGAAAATACACATCTCATCTCTTTGAGCTACAGCTGTCAGGTCAGTGTGGTTTTCAAACTGTGGGGATTTATTTGCAACTTGAAATTTTGTCTTTTTATTCTTTGAAAATCCTGAAGAGAGTCTTGTACTAAATTAAGTTTAGACCACATGCTGCGCTGTGTCAGGCTTTGATGTTGATGCCTCTGACCTCTTCATACACTGTTACCTCAACATTCCCGTTGATCACCAGCCAGGTTTACAAGCGCGCTGGAACAAATGTACTTGTCAGATCTTTGCGTAATAACACCAATCAGCGCAGGCGGCCTGAATGGCTGTAAAACGTATGACGTTACTGGAGGACAAATTGTCTTCTGGTAAGCAATGTACTTTTATAAGTCTATTATTACTCCACCAACACAGAGAAGGGCAATAAAACAGTTTTCAGTGGATCATGGTATCTCGGACAAAACAGTTATCAGTGTTGAGTTAAAAGTATTCTTGGTTACCACAGAAAAGAAAAAGAAATGTGGTTAGATGGTGTTATCAGGGAAAAGGCATCAAAACCTACCTTAACGTAGTCCTACAAGCCAAGCATGTTTAAAGTCTATAAAGTTAAGCAGCTATAGAGAGGTAAATGTTTTTAGATAAGAAAAAGCATGAAACGGTGGCAAAATTAATATGCAGAGTTTTGTCTCTTTCCCCCTCAGGTTCATACTGTGATTTCTGACTCCACTTCCATTCTGGTCCATCACCACTATGATGATGTCCTTTCATTACATTCCCATTCTAGAGTAAGACACATTCCCTTTCACCTTTAAGTTTCTTTGGTAATTAATTTAACCCTTTTGTTTTGTTGACGTAGGCTTTACTTCTACATCCTGCAAACCCAACAGCTGTATGCACTGTATGAGATTAATAATAATAATTAAAAAAAAAAAAAATCAACCTTTTTCTTTTCCTTCAAATCTTTTTTTCCTCTGACCTTATTAAAACCTTTATTACTCACTGTGCTTGCACAAATAATAAAGGTGTCCAAATGTGGAAATGACCATAAAACATTGTATTTACACCAAATAAGGACATATTTCATGTTTATATTTACATTACAAATATAATAAAATCTTTTTCTTTGCCAAAGACAAAGAAATTCCTTGTCTCATTCAGAGACAAGGAAATGTACAGTATATTAATCTTAAATAGTGATGTAACTCTTATAAACACCTGAAAGAAAAAATCAATAAAGTATCAATTAAACAATAAAATGTTTTTTGAGCTTTAAAAAGGGCCCAGGATCTCCAGGACCCTACGACATTTAAAAGTATTAAAACTTGAAAGACATTAATATTTCATGAGAAATAATGTCTTTTAAGACCACTTCCCTGTCCCTCCCTCTCTCTCTTCTCACTCTTCTACCTTCCCATTGACAATTCCTTCATTCACACACTGTCTTCCTTTGCACTTCCTTCCCATCTCACCCATCCCCATCTTCCTCCTCCTCCTCTCCAAGGATCTTCCTGGGCATCCTGGGCTTCGGTCTCTCCATCATGTTCTGCACCACCTTCTGCAGGGCATGCAGTCGCCTGAGGGAGGAGGAGTTAGAGAGGGAGGTGTTGAGACGCAGTGAGCAGGGCGGGCGCCGGCCTCCTATATTTTTTATCCCCTTCCCTAGAAGCATGTCGCAGCAGGACAGTGAAGACGTGAGGGGGCCTCAACAAAGCCAGGAGCTCCACACAACTCCTCCAAGATACAGCACAGCTGTCGTCTCTGGGCCCCCACCTTCCTATGATGAGGTGATTCTAAAACAATGACACATAAGAACTGAAAACTTTACTAGTCAAATCAGGGTGCATCAGATGGTGTCTCATTTCGATTTTGCCTTCCCCAACATCCCACATTCACTAAAAAAATTATGCATAACATCTACCTCGGTGTGTATTTCCTGGTAGTTAAATTTGAACTTTGTATTTCTTTCTGTGTTTTACAGCTGGGATTCAAACCTGATGATCTTCCCCCTGCTTACACAGAACATACTGTTCCTGTGTATCCAATAACACCCCAGCCTCACACAGACATGGCACAATCACAAACCCGGTCGCAACCATAAGCCGGGACCATCACATTGTGTCTGTGTTGAGGTTATGGACAGTCTTGATTATTGCACTGAATCATGGACTTGAGCTGGTAGCTGGAGTTTACAACATTTTAAAGAAACTTTATCTTGTGAGCTTTGCTTTTTATTGTGGTAATGAATGCATTGTTGGAACAGAGATGATGAAAGCTGCAGAGATGGCACCAGGTTTACAGCTACAGTGCCATGAGTTTACAGCACATTGTCCAAGCCACTAAACCACTTAAGACCCAAAATAGATTTTATTCCCATGCATGATGATTGTTCAACTTGGACTGTGTGTATCATTTCCCTAAGTGGTGTTGTTACCTCCACCATGGAGGTTGTGTTTGAGTTCAGTTTATTTGCATGTCTGTTTGTTTGTTTGTTTGTTTGTTTGTTTGTTTGTTTGTTTGTTTGTTTGTTTGTTAGCAGGATATCTCAAAAGCCACTTTATAGGCAGTTATGATATTTAGTGTAAATTCAGACGTAGATCCAAATCCAAATGGTGCCACCATGTGGCCATTTATGAAGCACTTTGTTTTGGCTCATGTCTCCTGAATAATGAGAAGTGGGTGCCATTTCCCCCCTTGGGTTCTTTTTTCCGAACATGTATTAGTGCCTCTCAACACTTTTACCGATTTATTTTGTCTTTGCAAAATCTGGTTCATTACATATTTGGATGAGCTGCATGTGTTGTACTGTTTTCCTATAACTGGCTGCCAAAGTCTTGTAGTTGTGGCCTGTTTGACATAAACTGACATATCATACAAATTTGATAGCATTTTGCTGATATGTGGCCCAACAACATGCTAAACTTAAATACAAACAACTCAGTATTCAGTGTGATTTGCTTTCTCTCCTTTCTCACACACAGGATTTTGATATTTGCCAAAAATGATGGCAGATATTATCTACCCCAAATGCTGATTAAAATATGTCTTCTTTCATCAAATCACTGGTTTAGAAGACTGTTCGGCCTTAGGGAGGTACAGTATGTGTTCTCTGAGTGCTGTGTAGTTACACGAATACTGAACTGAGCAGCATTGAGGTAAAGACATAGACACAAAAGGTGTGTTTTTACATGTAGCAGAAGTGGGGAGAACTTTTGTAAAGACTCAATGGTCCAAAGCAACAACTTGTTCTCAGTTCTGTCCTGAAATTGGATTATATGTTTCTTCCTATTTTCTTTCTTCTTTGTCCTTATTTTCTTTTTGATGACGCGGGACCCACAACCCACTGCTTAATGCTGGGGTCCCATAGAATTTACCTGAAAGATTAAAGCAGTGTTTTAAAGTCAGAGGTGTGCTGTATATCTACAGTCTTTCCAAAATGATGTGAATGCTTAAAGTATGGATAAGAAACTGATTAAACAGCCTGCTCTAAAACCAAGACAGCAGCTTTTTGCTTTTTGTGCTTTTATGGCGACTTGATTTAATACTCTGATGAAATAGTCACTGTACCCAAAAGTAAATATGTAAAAGATCAGATAGCACAAAAGAATTGTTTAAATCTCAGGGCAAAGTGTGCTATAGCAGGTCACACTTTTGTGTCACTTATCCCCCAAGAAATTATGGGATAAATATAGAAATCTATCTTTATGTCTATATATTTTGTTTGCCATCATCTTTCCATGTAAACATATAATGTTCATAATGTTGATATTGTCATGTGTACATATCATACATTTTTTCAACAAACAATACTGTAAATACAGTATTTTCACCTTAACTGTGATGTGTATTCACATTTTGGCACAAAACTATTCCCTTGTAACGAGTGGAATAAAAGTTTATCTGTTTTGCAAAGATACAGTGTTGTGTGACTTCTACTCAGAATTTGACTTGAATTTCAGTTTTATAAAAGAAAAAAGGGCCAGGCCAGCAGAGGCCGCTCTTGCACAAAAGGTTTGGCCTATGCAAATTGCCAAGGCAGTTTAATTCACAAGATCCTAACATGTATTGATGTATTGTGTGCATTTCTGCACATCTGCACAGAATTAAATTTTACTCTCCTTTCAGGTACTAAAACTTACAAGAATCAACCCCTTAACTTGCTGATGGAGTGTCATCAATCCGATACACTTGAACCAACTATTTTTCTTACTTAACTGCATTCAAAAGCATAATTCATCACTGGAATTTTAGTACTTGCAAACTATAATGCAACTAAAACACCTACAATTCAGTCAAATTCTTTCTCACTCCAGATTTTTATTCTATCTATCATTTCAATTTCAAACTTGTAGTCTTCACTTAACACAAAAGGCTTTATACAACCTTTCACCAATGCAGTGGTTCACCCCAACAGACTTTGAAGTGTAAAATCAGTCTGTCTCCACATGGGTATCCATATTACAACTAACACAAATGCTTTCACAAAATGTGTAAAATGCAAGTTAATATCTTTTGTGGGCAGTTAATGAAACAAACACAATAACAGTGATTTGTGTAGTTTAATCTGCTTGTTGACATATACAGTGGTTAGATTAACATGAAAAATATACACAAACATCTGCATACATGAGGATATATCTTGATTATTAAGGTAATTCACTGTATGTAGACACAGTGTTAGGCACACATTACTGTAAGGACAAATTCCAAAAAGTGACAAGAAGTCATTGCAAGCACAGTATGAATGGTTAGTTAATTGCTTTTTGAGAGTGTAAGGCACTGCTCATAAACAATACTTCATAAATAACAGCAAAAAGGAGCTGAGGTTGCTGTCAAAATGAAGATAATCAACTTCCGCACTGACAAAGAAGTGACAAAGGCAAAGTGAGTCTAGTCAACAGCATAAGTTTGGTTTTTCCACAGGAAGTGAAGGCATACAGGGCTCAACACCCAAAACCAAGGTGGGTAAACAATTTGTTTTCTCACAAATCGTGACCACACTGATGATTAAAAGCAAAAACCATTTCTTCTAGCAAAATAGAATAAAGTGATTGTAAAGTTGTGGTTATTGCATTTTGTTTGGAGAAAATAAACAAAACAGTTTTAAAGAAGCTTGAATCTGCTGGATTGCAGCCTTTATAGTCTTTAGACTTTGCGCTGTCTCATTGAAGAACTTCCCTCTGATCCATTATTTTCTCCCTGCATCCTGATGAAGGCGTCAAAATTCATCATGAAAAACCACAAACATGTGCATCAAAGTTTAAGATATATCACCTTTCACTGATGGGGCACCATTAATAAAGGGTTTATAAACTGAAAATTAGTGGCTTTAATGTTAATAAGTCCTTTATTAATGTTTTATAAATCACTTATAATTTGTGTATATCATTTATAATCATAACTTTTCATTTACTGTCAGAAGTGCTGCTAGAACAGTAAATGCTAAGAATTGTCTTTCTTACATTTTTAAGTTCCCAGTCTGATCTTTGCATAACGGCTCTCTTGCATGAATGTTTTGCAATTACATGGCTGTGAGTTTCTATTCAATAATAATGCTGTGTTATAAATGTTGGTAAACCATTAATAAGTATGAAGGGTTTTTTACTTTATAATAAGCTATCAGATTTACAGTTATAAATGCCAGCCACCTGCAATTATTTCTTTATTTTTATTCCTTTATTTGGATCCCCATTAGCTTCTACACAGTGGTCGCTAGTCTTCCTGGGGTCCGAAAATTATAAATGTTAATACATCATAAGTCTCCAGTTGTAAATATTAATAAGCTGTTTATAACTGGATTTAGGTCCAGATGTAGTCAAACAGTCTATAAAGAGCTAAAAAGAAAAGCAAAGTGTCATGCTGCAGAATGATTTCCCCCAATCTGCCAACCAAAAAGTTGTTCTTATTAATGGCTTATACTAATCTATTTATTACTCCATTAATTACATTACTTATAAACCTCTATAAATGGTGCCTCATGAGAAAGTAGTACCAAACAATCTGAAGAGAAATTTGCACTTTGTACTCACTGTGTGTTCATTTGATCAGCATTTGTCCCATTTTCTGAGAATAAGGAAGATAAGTTAAAATACAACATACTATACAATACACTCGATGCTGACATGAACAAGCGCATCAATATGTTGTCTGACTACCTGCTGTGCAGATTTTCTTGGACTGACTTCTCTCATAGAGCAGGATGGCGGCAACCAGGATCATCACTTCGACCAGGATGGCTATGAAGGGCTTCAGAGGCTCCCAGAAGGTGATGACCTTCAGCAATGGTGGAAGAAGTATTCACATTTTTTTTCTTAAGTGACAGTGCAAACACAACAATGGAAAAATACTCCATTACATGTAAAAGTCCTGCATTCAAAAGAGAAGTACAGAACTTTTTTTATTTAAAGTATAATAATAATAATGCTAAGTAAGTAAGTTTATTCATAAGGCACTTAGCAAAACTGTAGATTACGACCATGATTAAGACCACAAAATGAAATTGAAGTTACTTTCCACAACTTACCCTCAGCTCCACCTTGCTCATTGTTTTGCTAATGGCGTACACCGCCTCACAGTGATACAAGCCAGAGTCAGCCTCTGTCAGGTTGTGCACCACCAACTTGGTCTTCCCCTCTTCATTTTTGATTTCATACCGGTGAGGCTCCACAGCAACGAAAATCTGCTCCTATAGGATAAAAGCATCCTGCAGCTTATTGCTTGCCATCCTATCACTCCAGTGGGTCAGGTCATGTCTGTGTTTCAATGCCACACTTTTTTGGTGGTCGTGGTATCTTTTGTAACAGGCAATGAGCATCATCTCAGGGTTATGATTAAAGAAAAATACAGTTTTCAAATTTACCAATAAATGCATTTTATGAAAGTAGTAAAAATTCTGTTGATGTAATCTGGATTTAAATTTAGTAAATTTTCCAGGATCGTTTCAAATGGAAAAATTATGAATAAAAAAGTTGTGTCTTACCAACACTGACCAGTTAAAAACTAGGTAAAACAAATGTTGCAAGGGTGCTAATTTTAAAATAACAAATAACATACATCTCACTTAAAACCACATCAAAGACAACCTGTCAACAAGCAGCTCACTCACTTTATCTGTCCCATTTAGTTTGTACCAGTTCCATGAGTTGGGCTTTGGTTTGTTGTCGTCCATTTTACATGGCATCACTGCATAATCCCCCACATAGCTGACTATTGGCTTATCTCGCACATCACTGATCTGTGGAGCTGGTGGAAAATTGGGAAAAGTGCGAGAGATAATGGTGAGAAAATGGCACTGTGTAGCCTACATCCTGCACCCTTTATGTGAGTGTAAATATTGAAATTCACTATGAATAAGCAGCAAGGAGTTGTGGGCTGATAGCAAGACAAATACTGACTGAGAATGTGAAATATGATTAAGGTAGTCACAAATGCAACTCATATGAAAGGATGTGATATGTACCTTCCAAAACAAAATCTATTTTTGCTTTATCTCCAAATATGCATGAGTAATTTCCGAGGTTTTCTTCTCTGTCAATCCTGAACCTGTAAAGCAAAAATAGATGAGAGGTTTTATACAAAAACATGTTATATTTAATTAGGATTAATGATACATAATAATTAATAGTCTGGATGAAGTGCATGCTTCTTCTGTCAAAAAACTTGATTGTTCTACAATTAAATGTGTTCAGATTATTTATAACTTGAAAATAACAATCTCTATTTTTGTTAAAATATAGTAATTTTAAACAAAATACAATGCTATTATTAAATGTTTTTGTAAATCAGGATGTACGCATGCATGTATTTGAATTATCAGACAACATAGCACAGTGGATTGGGACCGACAGAAATTAAGAGAAAGATGCAGTTTCTGAAACTAATTGGATAAGATAATGAACACATGAAGCACTTACACTCGTTTGAGATTATACTGCTCATTTTCCAACTGCACTGTGAGCCGGCTGTTCTCAATTTCATCAACATCTTTTCTCCAGTAACCACTTATGTTCGGTAGTTTGTTCATATTACCAGTCCAGGTACACTCAAGTGTTAGTTCGACAGGGTTCAACATTTCAACTTTCTCAGTATGATTTTCACCTATGTGGAGAGGTGTAGAGGTATTTCAAACACAAACACAAGGTAAAAGTAGACATCTGTTCATTCAAAAAACTGACTGTGAATTCAACTTTAAATTACATTTCTACAGCAGCTATAATTTATATATTGAAAAAAGAACCACTAAATCAACACTGGACAGGGCTATGTGGCATTTTGAAGTTCTTTAGCAATGTACTAGTATGTAGCTAAAGTTAACTCAGAAATAGTACAAGCAATGGTTTAAATATGAACCCGTGCCATTATCTTGTTGTCTGTACAGTTTGTCTGTTGTAAATGGTTAGCTAAATTAATTATTGTAGCTAATGTGGTACTTGCAGCTAAAAAGCTCCAGCTAGAATTAGGCTAATGTTATCCATTAGCATTTTTGATAGTGTGAAATGAGGTCTCATTTTAACAGGCACCAGCAAATTCCACATAAACCAAAACCAAGTAACGTTAGGTTTAGCATAACCTATTTAACACTGAGAAATTTGTTGTGAACAATTGTGAACTGCTAGGTTAGCAGCATAAAATCCAACTGTTGTTAACTGTACTATAAAACTACTATCACCTTTGCTGGTTGTGCTCAAACTAGTGAAATTAAATATATATATGTCCATTTCAAGGCACATTTAATCATTTTGTCAGTTAACATAACAAGCGCTTTCAATTTGGTTTCAATGTTACGTGTCATCATAGATTCAATATTTATGCCTGCTGACATTCAAATGTTTAAATCTGATTGTGCTATCTGGGATATAGTCAGTGGACTCATGCCTGAAAACTCTTACCTTTAAGGATAACGCTTCTTACTTCTGTTGGCAGAGGACTGATGGGAGCCACTGGTGAAGGAGTTGGGCCAGTTGTCTCTGACAAAAACAAACAACAAAATGTAACACTAGCAGGTAAAACAGGCTACATTTTCTCAAGAATTAAGAAATTATGTATACTAGGCAAAAATATCTTGGACTGAGTGTTCACTTGAGTTGTTGGTAGGGAATTACCAGGTGGTTGGTAGGATGATATTGATAATTGCTAATGTGGTTGCTAGTGTGTATATGGACGAGTGGGACATGTCCCTTACTATACTATGACGTTTTTTTTTTACTTTTCTATACTTTACTATACTATGACGTTATTTAAAAAATTTTATGCCTTACTATAATATAAGGTTTTTTGACGTTTTTTTGCCTTTCCATAAAATTACATTTTTTGATGTTTTTAAGCCTTACTATACTATGACTTTTTTGTCATTTTTAGGCCTTATTATACTAAGAACTATACTAAGGATGTTTAATGCCTTACCATACTATGATGTTTCTGTGATATTTTTTGCCTTAATACATTATGATGTTTTTTTGACATTTTATGCCATACTATACTTTGACATTTTTTGTCATTTTTATGCCTTAATATACTATGACGTTTAATGCCTTACCATACTATAATGTTTTTATGACATTTTGTACACTATGATGTTTTTTTGACATTTTATGCCATACTATACTATGACGTTTTTTTATCATTTTTATGCCTTAATAAACTGTGACGTTTAATGCCTTACTATACTATGATGTTTCTGTGATATTTTGTGCCTTAATACACTATGATGATTTTTTGACATTTTATGCCTTACTATACTATGACGTTTTTTGACATTTTTATGCCTTAATATGCTTTGACGTTTAATGCCTTACTATACTATGATGTTTTAATGACATTTTGTGTCTTAATATACTATGATTTTTTTTGACATTTTATGCCATACTATACTATGACGTTTGGTTGGTGGTTGGTAGGATGATATTGATAATTGCTAATGTGGTTGCTAGTGTGTATATGGACGAGTGGGACATGTCCCTTACTATACTATGACGTTTTTTTTTTACTTTTTTATACTTTACTATACTATGACGTTATTTAAAAAATTTTATGCCTTACTATAATATAAGGTTTTTTGACGTTTTTTTGCCTTTCCATAAAATTACATTTTTTGATGTTTTTAAGCCTTACTATACTATGACTTTTTTGTCATTTTTAGGCCTTATTATACTAAGAAGTTTTTTGCCTTACTATACTATAACGTTTTTGAAATTTTTATGACTTACTATACTATGATGTTTTTAGCTGTTTTTATGCCTAACTATACTAAAATGTTGTTTGACATTTTTATGCCTGACTATACTATAACATTTGTTCATATTTTTGTGCCTTACAATACAATTACTTTTTTAGACGTTTTTATGCCTTACTATATTACGACATTTTATGCCTTACCATAATGTGACGTTTTTTGACATTTTGATGACAAATCATACTATAACGTTTTTTGACGCTTTTGTTGCTTATTATACTATGATGTTTTATGCCTTGCCATTATATGATGTTTTTTGATGCTTATATGCCGTAATATACTATGACTTTTTGACATTATTATGCCTTACTACAACTTTGACAGTGTTTGACATTTTAATGCCATTTTTAGGCCTCACTATACTGTCATGTTTTCTGACATTATTATTCGTTATTATACTATGAAATTTTTATGCCTTAAAATACATTTTTTGACCATTTTATACCTTACTATAATGTGAAGTTTTAAAAAGTTTTTATGCCTTATTATACTATCATGTTTTTTAATGTTTTTATGCCTTACTATGATATAACATTTTTTGACATTTTTATGACTTACTATACTATGATGTCTTTGATATATTTATAATGTGCTATACTAAGACATTTTATGCCTTAGTATACTATGTAGTTTTTATGACTTTTTATGCCCTAATATACTATGTCGTTTTTATGACTTTTCATGACTTACTATACTATAATGCTTTTATGATTTTTTATGCCTTACTATACTATGTTGTTTTTAAGACATACTATACAATGACATTTTTATGACTTTTTATGTTTTACCATACTATGTCGTTTTTAGGGCTTTTTATACCTTACTATACAATGTCGTTTTTATCACGTACATGCCTTGCTATACTATGACGTTCTCATGACTTTTTATGCCTTACCATACTATGACTTTTTCTGCCTTACTATACTATGACGTTTTTATGACTTTTTATGCCTTACTATACTATGACTTTTTTGTGACTTTTTATGCCTTACTATACTATTACTTTTTATGCCTTACTATACTATGATGTTTTTATGACTTTTTATGCCTTACTATACTATGACGTTTTTATGACTTTTTATGCCTTACTATAAAATGACATTTTTATAACTTTTTTATGCCTTGCTATACTATGATGTTTTCATGACTTTTTCTGCCTTACTATACTATGACGTTTTTATGACTTTTTATGCCTTACTATACTATGACGTTTTTATGACTTTTTATGCCTTACTATACTATGACGTTTTTATGACTTTTTATGCCTTACTATACTATGACGTTTTTATGACTTTTTATGCCTTACTATACTATGACGTTTTTATGACTTTTTATGCCTTACTATACTATGACGTTTTTATGACTTTTTATGCCTTACTATACTATGACGTTTTTATGACTTTTTATGCCTTACTATACTATGACGTTTTTATGACTTTTTATGCCTTACTATACTATGACTTTTTATGCCTTACTATACTATGAAGTTTTTATGACTCTTTATGCCTTACTGTACTGTCATTTTGATGACTTTTTATGCCTCACTATACTATTTTGTTTTTAGGAGTTTTTATGCCTTACTATACTATGACGTTTTCATGACTTTTTATGACTTACCATACTATGACTTTTTATGCCATACTATATAATGACATTTTTATGACTTTTTATGCCTTACCATACTATGACTTTTTATGCCTTAGTATGCTATGACGTTTTTATGACTTTTTATGCCATACTATACTATGATGTTTTATGACTTTTTATGCCATACTATACTATGTCGTTTTTATGACTTTTTACGACTTACCATACTATAACTTTTTATGCCTTACCATACTATGACTTTTTCTGCCTTACTATACTATGACGTTTTTATGACTTTTTATGCCTTACTATACTATGATGTTTTTATGACTTTTTATGCCTTACTATACTATGATGTTTTTATGACTTTTTATGCCTTACTATACTATGATGTTTTTATGACTTTTTATGCCTTACTATACTATGATGTTTTTATGACTTTTTATGCCTTACTATACTATGATGTTTTTATGACTTTTTATGCCTTACTATACTATGACATTTTATGCCATACTATACTATGACGTTTTTTGTCATTTTTATGCCTTAATATGATATGACGTTTGATGCCTTACCATACTATGATGTTTTTATGACTTTTTATGCCAAACTATACTATAATGTTTTTATGACTATTTATGACCTACTATACTGTGACTTTTAATGCCTTACTATACTATGACATTTTATGCCATACTATACTATGACGTTTTTTGACATTTTATGCCATACTATACTTTGACGTTTAATGCCTTACCATACTATGATTTTTTTTGACATTTTGTGCCATACTATACTATGACCTTTTTTGTTATTTTTATGCCTTAATATACTATGATGTTTAATGCCTTACCATACTATGATGTTTTAATGACATTTTGCGCCTTATTACACTATGTTTTATTTGACATTTTATGCCATACTATACTATGACGTTTTTTGACATTTTTTTGCCTAATTATATTATACCTTTTTTTGCCTTTTTATGCCATGACAATTTGAGACGTTTAATGCCTTACCATACTATGATGTTTCTGTGATATTTTGTGCCTTAAAACACTATGATGTTTTTTTGACATTTTATGCCATACTATACTGTGATGTTTTTTGATATTTTATGCGATACTATACTATGACATTTTTGGTCATTTTTATGCCTTAATATATTATGATGTTTAATGCCTTACCATACTATGATGTTTTAATGACATTTTGTGTCTTAATATACTATGATTTTTTTTGACATTTTATGCCATACTATACTATGACGTTTTTTGTCATTTTTATGCCTTAATATACTATGGCCTTTAATGCCTTACTATACTATGATGTTTTAATGACACTTTGTGCCTTAATATACTATGATTTTTTTTGACATTTTATGCCATACTATACTATGACTTTTTTGTCATTTTATGCCATACTATACTATGACGTTTTTTGTCATTTTTATGCCTTAATGTGCTATGGCGTTTAATGCCTTACCATACAATGATGTTTTTATGACATTTTGTGCCTTAATATACAATGATGTTTTTTTGACATTTCATGCCATACTATACTATGACTTTTTTGTCATTTTATGCCATACTATACTATAACGTTTTTTGTCATTTTTATGCCTTAATATGCTATGACATTTAATGCCTTACCATACTATGATGTTTTTATTACATTTTGTGCCTTAATACACTATNTACTATACTATGACGTTTTTTTTTTTTTTTATGCCTTAATAAACTATGACGTTTAATGCCTTACCATACTATGATGTTTTAATGACATTTTGTGTCTTAATATACTATGATTTTTTTTGACATTTTATGCCATACTATACTATGACGTTTTTTGTCATTTTTATGCCTTAATATGCTATGACGTTTAATGCCTTACCATACTATGATGTTTTTATGACATTTTGTGCCTTAATATACAATGATGTTTTTTTGACATTTTATGCCATACTATACTATGACTTTTTTTTACATTTTATGCCATACTATACTATGACGTTTTTTGTCATTTTTATGCCTTAATAAACTATGACGTTTAATGCCTTACCATACTATGATGTTTTTATGACATTTTGTGCCTTAATACACTATCGTGTTTTTTTGACATTTTATGCCATACTATACTATGACGTTT